GCCAGCTCCACAGACCCACTGCCCCTGAAAGCCACTGAACCCCAAATCCCCCCTTGTCCCTGAGCACTCACACCAGCCCCAGAAAGCCCCAAAGACCTGCTCCCCCCCTGTAAGCTCCAACCCCAAATCTCCCCTGCCCACCACACTCACACCAGCTCCAGAGAGCCCCACAGACCCACTGCCCCCACAACCACAAAAAAGGTTGGTATCATTAGCCCCTGATGGGGAAACTGAGGCACGCAGTGAGGCAGGGACTTGCTCAAGGTCACCAAGCAAGCCAATGGCTGAGTCAGAATAAAACCCATTGATGCTAAACAAATATGCTCTTCTCCCTAAATACACTCATGTCGGCCAGACATCCCAGGTAATGCCCACAGGTCACCTGGCCCATTGGCTCATCATATCCCATTTCACCCCATTTTTACAGACTTGTGGGGGCTGCCCTGAGCCTGGTACAACTGTCCCCGCTTCTTTCAGCACCACTCCCACACACCCCTCTCAGATAGGCTGTCTACCCTAAATCCATCCCCTCGGGTAGAGAGGGCAGCACCAGCTGACCCCGCAAATAAGCTTTTAATGGGCATGGGGGGGTGTCTTGACCCCCACATTGCCCTCTGCTCCATGGATGCCCAAGTTGATTAGACAAGACAGATTCCAGTCTAAGCAGGGGAGGGGTTCCCGAGACCTCTTCCAAAAGCGAACAGTTCGGGGCCGAGTGCTGATGGCACTGGGCCAAAGCCAGCTCCTAGAATGATACATGTGGGGGAATCTAAGGGTCTGGCTGTCCTGGTGTAACTACACCAATACAGCTACCCCTGTAGAGTGAGTCCCTCCCTACCCGCTCTAGCCTTTATTCTTGTCTAGTGGAATACGATCGATCAATCAATTTGCTGCAGTTTAATCAGGTGTCCCTTGATTAGTGCTTATGAGGACAGCATTGGGAAGGCTGGTCCCTATGCTACCCCCAGCAGAGAGCTTCCTTTGGGAAGGAGGACAGTGAGCATCATACTGTCTGTTTTATTGCAGGGCTAGCGAATGTGGCAGGAGACATGCTTTCCTCACAGGAGGCCGCTTCCCCCTGGATCTCGGATGAAGCCAGCTTCTGTGGAGATACAGATCAGCCAGTGAACATGCAGACCCTGTCTCACAACCCTGCAGCAGCTGTACAATTGCATATGGTCCAGTCATCAGAGGGTATGTAGCACCAGTTTGGGGTCTGTCTGTCTACTAGGGATGTAAAATCCCATTTAATTGGCTAATCGGTTACACACTATTTAACTGGTTAACCAATTTAAGGGGGGGGCAAGCAAGGTGGGAGCAGCCTCCCCCTTGCTGCAAGCAGAGGCTGCTTCAGCCTGGCCAGAGAAGCCCCTGCCTGCATCCCCCCTGCCACAGGCAGAAGCTGCACTAGCTGGGTTGGAGCAGTCTCAGCCAGAGCAGCCCCTGCCTGCAAGGCACCTGGGGGCCTGCCGTGGGGCTGGAGCAGCCCCCTGCCCATAGCAGGTGGGAAGCTGCTCCAGTCCCTACTGGTTAACCCGATAAACTTTTACATGCCTATTATCTACTATATCCCCCCTCCCTTACTGTAGTAGCTAAGCACCATTTGTAATGCTACCTCTATGAGGTAAGTGCTTTGCTGAATAGCTAGCTACATTTCTAAGCCACATGGTTGCAAGTGAAAACACAATCCAAGGGTAAACTGAGCAGCGTGGTCTGCCTAAATCTGCAGTACTAGCTCTGGAGATGAGATCCACGCCATTCCTCCAAATGGCTCTGAATCCTACGGACAACAAATTCACCATCCGTACTTCAGGGGGTGGCCGAGTTAGTCTGTTACAGAAAAAAACAACAAATGGTCTGGTAGCACTTTATAGACTAACAAAACATGTAGATGGTATTCAGGGTGTTCAGAATGCCTAGCCTAGTACTCTGCCTGCTAGACCATGCTGCCTCCCAGGTTAGGCTCTGATTCTGCAGTCAGATCAGTAGAGGAGCCCCAATGGTGCAGTCTGGATTTCAGGATTGGGGCCTTTCTGTGAGAGCTTAAGTGTGAAGAAGAAAAGCAAGAAGCACATTTGCTATGTAGCCCATTCACCCACAGCTTCAGGGTGTGGTGTATTGTCCCATCTAGTGGCATCTAGTTGGCTCTGCAGCCTTAGCTAGCAGTCTTAGCTACCACATAGGCTTTTAGCTTATGTGGTAGATGGCTATAATACCTAGAGGCTACATCTAGACTGGCATGATTTTCCGCAAATGCTTTTAACGGAAAAGTTTTTTCGTTAAAAGCATTTGCAGAAAAGAGCGTCTAGATTGGCACGGACGCTTTTTCGCAAAAGCTTTTTGTGGAAAAGAGTCCGTACCAATCTAGACGCGGTTTTGCGCAAGAAAGCCCCGATGGCCATTTTCGCCATTGGGGCTTTTTTGCGCAAAACAATACCGCGTTGTCTTCACTGGCCCTCTTGCGCAAAAGCATTTGCGCAAGAGGGCTTTTGCCCAAACGGGAGCAGCATAGCATTTCCGCAAGAACATTGACAATCCTACATTAGATCGTCAGTGTTCTTGCGGAAATTCAAGCGGCCAGTTTAGACTGCTGGTAAGTTTTTCCTCAAAAGCAGCTGCTTTTGCAGAAAAATTTGGCAGTCTAGACGCAGCCAGCTATAATACAGTCTAGAGGGACTCTTCTGAAAGTGCTTGTAAAGAACACTGAGGCTGTCTTTGTAGGATTCATGGGGCACAGCCTGGGTTTTATTTGAATTGAGGCAAGTCTCAGAGGCGGATGAATCATCCTGTCCAACACAGCTGCCTCCCACTATGCTGCCCAGGACAGCCTGCTTTAGGTCGGATGCTGACTTGGTTATTCCAAACTGTTAGGGTAAGAGATCAAAGAAAGCCTGGGTACCATGACGATTGCTGCCTGAGATAGATGGGGTGTGGAAGAGTGCATAGGGATGGAAAGATACAAAGATACATGTATACTGTGGCTACGCATATCAGGCTTTGTGAACTCAATTCTCCTCTGACTCACGTCCTGTGATTTGACCTGTCAAACCAAGTTCTTCTCTTAGTTACGTCAACATAAATCCAGAATAACTCAATTTAAGCCTGAGGAATTAGTCCAGATGTGGGCTGGTATAAGCAGAATTTGGTCTATTGCTATCCCTGGGCATAAGCATGGGAATTTTGTGGTGTGTGTGTGAATCATCATGGCATTTTAAAAGTTAGCACAGGAAAATAACCTATAGTATTAGATTTCTGGGAGACCGTTCCCCACCTTCCTGCCCCTCAGACAGGCCAGCATTGTTCCTTCTAGTGTAATTACAAAGGCCATATTCAAGCAAGTTGTCCACTATCCCACAGCACAGTAATGGGATCATAGGACGTTCCAGAAGGGGTGTGTGTTTGCTTGCAGGTAATTAAGTCTGGAACCAGACATGCAGTGCTTTGGTAACATTCACTCCATGTGCAGTGGCTCAGGGTGTGTTAGAAACCATTAAGAAAAAGATTGAGATAGTAAGACAGAAAATACCCCGGTGCCACTATATAAATCCATGGCACACCCACACCTCGGAATACTGCGTCCAGTTCTGGTCACCGCATCTCAAAACCATTATATAAGGAGTGGAAAAGATGCAGAGAAGGGTAACAACAACGATATGGTGCATGGAACAGCTTGCATATGAGGAGACTAGGTCTGTTCAGCAAGGGTGGGATATGATCGAGGTCTATAATATGAATGGAGTGGAGAAAGTGAAGGGATGTGTAATTGACCCTTTCATGTGACACTAGAACCAGAGGTCATACAGTGAACTTATTAGTCTGTGAGTTTAAAAGAGACACAAGGAAATACATCTTCACACGATGCACAGTCAGCTAGTAGAACTCATTGCCAGGGGATGCTGTGAAGGCCAAAACGATAACTGGATTAAAAAAAAAGAATGAGAGAAGTTCATGGAGGGTAGGTCCATCAGTAGCTATTAGCCAAGGTAGTCAGGGACGCAGCCCCAGGCTCAGGGTGTCCCTGGGGCTCTCACTGCCAGAAGCTGGGACTGGTGGATGGGGATGGATTATTTGATAACGGCTCGGTTCTGTTCATTCCCTCTGTAGCATCTGACACTGGTCACTGTCAAAGACAGGATACTGGGCTAGATGGACTATTGCAGTGTTTCTCAAACTTTGGGAAAGCCGTTAGTGGGCCCACACTAATTGATTTACTTAAAGGTTCTAAAGCCACAGAGTCTCACATCTCCCTTTGGCTCCAGTCACCATTTCCAGCCAAGGAGAGCTGCAGGAAGCTTCAATGCTCCCTGTCTAGTAAGGCTGTAAAATCCCATTTAATTGGTTTGTGGGGCACATTTGCTGTTTAACTGTTCATGCAGTAACTTTGTACTGTTCTATTAGGCGCAGTGCGGTTATGAACTGGCCGTATAGTGCTCCTAAAAGGTGGTGAGGTTCATAAGTATCAGGTTTTAACTTATGGTGCGTTTGCGCGTTTACGAGAGTGGCAGCTATGTTGGCGGCTAAGGTGTGTGCTCGGCCCCCAGTCTCTAAGTCGGGGTAAAATGTCGAGGGAGAGACAGAGGCTCCTGCTTTTTTTATGCAGGCCTCCATAGCCTTAAGGGCGTGACGGGGTCGCTGCTGGATCTAGTGGCTTTTTAAGGCCCGCTAGTTTTACCTGCTTTTCCTCCAGCACCAGGAAAAAGTGACTAGTGGGGTGCGTGTGGAGGATGCAACCCAGTGATGGGCCATCAAGGCGTACCTCCCATTTTTTATCCTCAGCGGTTATATTCAGGTGTCCCAGTATGCCGTCACCTGTGTTGGTGATTTCGTGTTATTGGGCATGGAAGAGTAAATCTTCCGGGGTTAAGTTAATTCTATCTTCCCACGGGCATCCTGTTCGTGACGCCATGTCGCGAGAATCACAGGTCTGATGATACATACCTAAGGGGGGGAAGGACAGAACCAGGCGGACCGTTTTAGCAAATAAAAAATATTTATTTATAACAGTGATGAATTTATAGTATTTATTCTAAGATTTTAATAGACCGTATTAATAAAGAATTCACAGTGTTTATTATATTTATTCTATGATTTCTAGTTAAATGTGTCAGAGATACAAGGATGGGAATGGAAAGGGGAATAGTCTCTATTCTAAAAATATCCAGCTACACTAATTAAATAACAGTGATAACTACAAACTCTATGTACTACCCAAAAATACTACAACACTAAGCTTATACAACAAGAAAAAATCAAATCCTACATACCAACTTACACGGAACATTTCAAAGATATCGGTTCGGTTGCGAAGGCCTTGGTTACGGTCGGTTGATCAGGCCGGCAGCGCTTTGAAGTATACGAGAAGGCACACGCACGGTGGTACGTGTGTTGCGAAGACCTCCTCGAGCGAACTGTGCGATAGGTATTTATCCCCAAATCTGCACATCGCTTTCCCGCGCTTGCATATTACCGTACATGGCCCAATGGTCACCAAGTGGGGGGTCTGTGTCCCAGGAGTTGGGTGGAAACTGTGCAGGTTTCATACAACCAGGTAAGCCCCGCAGTTCTCACGCCAAGGTGACAGGTGGGAGAGTCTGAGGGTATTTTCCCCTTTTCACACCTTCCCTTTTTCTAGAGGCAATGGTATACAGGAAGTGTGCGGCCGGTTTCTCCCAAGGAGTACTGAACAAAAACAGCCTGGCCAAACTTTTTACTGGGGGGGCAGCTTTTTCTCTAACAGGCTGTTGCAGCCCCCTGCCTTTGGCAGGCAGGGAGCTGCTCCAGACCCTACCAGTTAACCTTAACCTGTAAGCCTCACCCGTTAAGGGTGGAGCTTACCAGTTAACCAGGTAAACATTCGCATCCCTAGTGGCTACAGATCCTTTAGGTATACAAAGCAGTGTGGGCCTGTTAGCAGCTTTCCCAAAGCCGGTCTGCAGCCCACCTTGAGAAACACTGGACTATTGGGTCAACCCAGCATGGCTGTTCTTATATTCTTAGCTTGTAAGTGTTACATCTCTCCTCCTCTTCCTTAGCAGAGTCATGGGAGAGCTCTGCAGAAAGCAGCAAGAACCAATGCTCTGAGGAGCACGTATTGACCTGCACGTTTGATGCCTGTGACCTGGAACAAACAGGTAGAAAGCTTTCTAATGTCAGCTGGAAATGCACAGTCCTGGCAGAGTTCCAGCCACTTTAGTGCTATCAGGAAACCAACTGTGTGTTAGATTCAAAGGTTCCTTTCAGAGTGGAATCAGTCAGTGAGTGTTCAGCCCTTACGCCTACCCTCCCATTCCCAAGACCTTTGAAAAAGTAAGGCCGTGCCTGGGATCTACCAGTCTCCTAGGAGTTAATGAACAAGGCTAAGTGGAAAGTGGACAGCAGGTTGCATGGTCAACTTCTTGAGGGGAACTATAATACTATGAAGAAGAAGGTGTGACATAGTGGGGGTGCTGTCTGCTCTGTAACCCATAACCGGTGTTCCCCTGCACTGTGATGTGTGATTTCCACTGACTCACTCATATGTGTATTGGCCCAGACACCTAGGCCCAGCCTGAGCAGATAACAAGGCTCTTCTCAGAGGGACAGACAAAGGAAGGGAGGTGGGGACGGACACCTGGCTGGGGGCAGAGTCTGGGAGGGAGGCAGTTGCTGGCTGGGAACATGAAGGGAACAGACTAAGCTGGGGGATGATGGATCCCCTAACCCAAGGGGTCTAAGGCTGCCTGGCCCTGACTCCTGTAACCACATCACGTCTATGCTGTGCTGTATCCTGGAGAAGCAATAAACCCTCTCTATTCTACTGGCTGGCGGAGTCTGTTCATGCTGCTACGGGGGTGCAGGATCAGGGGGAACCCCGATGCGCTGTCACAGAGGGGACATAGATTTCCATGAGAGAGGGCCCACCTGTTAATTAGCGGTTGCAGTGAGTCACTTTGAAAACAAAGTCACTTTATTTAAATGCCTTGAGGTGGCTCTAGGAGTGTGTCTAGCGCACAAATCCATACAATTACTCAAAGATTGCAGCAACTCAAACACCTAAATATCTTTGCGGGTAAAGGCCTAACTTCCACTGATTTCACTGATCTGCAGACTCCCAGACCATTTTTGTAATCACAAGACCAACCTTCCATCTCTAGCAATGTTTGTGTTTTGCTGGGAGGTTATTATTGTATGCCTGAATTTCTGGTTGCAGGACAGGTGTCTGTTTTCCGTATTATCGAGTACTTGCAGTCTGTGACAGGGCAAAGCTGCGAGGAAGGGAGACTGCAGATGCTTTACAAAATGCTGGACCCAGAAGAAAGGGGAGCTGCAGTGGATTTACCAACCTTCCGTGCCATCATGAAGACCTGGATTGAAAATTGTCGGCAGGATGGGTCAGTAGATAATTTAGGAACAGCTGTGACTTAGGTGTCACAACCCCAGAGCAAGAGAGGGTAAGACGGTAATTCACAGAAAGGGAAGCTGAGGCACAGAGAGGTGAAAGGCCAGATGTTCAAAGGTACTTTAAAAAAATGGAAATGAGTGGGTATTTGGCACCTAAGGCCTTGTGAGAATCTTGCTATGCAGCGATCTGATCTGCCAAGCAACTTGGCCTTCCAGGGTTTCATAGCAGCTTAACCCTGTGACTCCCATTCCTTCCTGCTCCAGGTCCCTAGACAACACCACACCATAGAGCAGTAAATAGAAGCCAGGAGTCCTGCTCTGCCCACCTAGTATATATTCTCTCCAAGAGCTGGGAGTGGAACCTGACTCCCAGACCCCTGCAGGGACTTGATATACATCTCTGAGAGTTGTTTTAGGAGTTCCCTGTGCTCTTATCGCATGCCCATACTGCGGTGAGAATCCCACTCCCTGTGCCATCTAGCTGTGTGTCTATGTCATATGTGCTGCTAAGTTTTTTTTAAAAAGGTTTCCAAAATCAGTCTTGTTAGTAATATTAATAGTTATTAGCTCTGTGTCCTTCTAACAAAAACAGTCAGGGAAATGCATAATATAACCCTTCCCTTGGCCTTAGTATCACAGCTTTATCTGGGATAGCCCTAAGGCCTCACCTGTTGCGTGCATAGCTTTTCTGACTTTAGCATTAAAGAGACCTGAGCAGTTCTTATCCCAACTAATTAAGCGACTTAATTAGTGTCGGATGACATAACATCCCCTACTAAACTTAAGGAACTATTGTCATTCTTATGTTTATTAAGAAGCGGGTGGTGAATTGGGAATATGCACAGAGCACACGATTCAATTCATATGGATGGTGATCAAGTGGAAATTATGATTATTAATTTATATTTCATCCAGGGGATTAGACAGCACAAAGGAAGGAGACAAGTTTGTGGACGATATGCGCCTGTGGCCATCTGGTAGGTTGTGCTGAAAGGGATAATAAAAAGAACTGTGTATTTAATTCTAAATATAGATGGCTTGGTAGTGCAGCCTGATGTGCTATTGATTGGCCTGACTGAGGTGTCTGTCCTCATCCTTTCTGCTGAGGACACAGGAACCCACCCAAGTTTTGAAATACATACATAATTAATCCTTGCATAGCCCCTCTGTTGCTGTAGCATCTGGGTGCTTCCTGAGGGTTTAGAGGTAGAAAAATCAACAGCAGTCTCTCTCTTCCTGCCTTGTCTGTAGGAAAAAGAGCTTGATTAGCTTCTAGAGCAGAGGTTGTGTCTGATTGGGCTTGTCTGCATGTGAGATGTGTGATTCAGAGTCTTCTGGGAACCACTCCTGGGGGTCTACCAAGCAGTGGGAAAGCTAGCGGAGCTCGCATCCTGGGAGCTCTTAGGGCAATCTTCACGTGATGGGATCCAGGAGTCTAGACCCTAGTGAAAGATCAGTGAGGGCTAGGTGCCAAAATGCCCTGGGCTTTGAGAATTTGATCTTAAGTTGCTTTCCCTGCCCTCATTTCTGCAATGCTTGGACAATTTGGGTGTACTGCAGTGAGGGTGTGGTATAAGAACCTAGATTAGAGGGAGAGCTTTGTATGAGGAGAGACTGAGTCGGCCTGCCCTGTCAGGACTCCCCCCATTCCCCAGGCTCTGGCACAGGAAAGCAGGGCCATAGCCAGAGTATCTCTGCATTCCAGTTATCCCAGCCACTGTAACAACTTCTAAGGGCTGCCAGCAGCCACAAGTAAGGCAAAACAACCTTTGGGCTGCTCTAGCTTATGCTGAGGACTCAGGTGTTGTCTGGATAGCTCCAGGACTGGGGAAATATTCAGCCACCTTTGTGCCCCCCAATGCAGCTGAGAGGCTGTGATGTCCTGCCATGGCACATCTCTGGTCAGCCCAGAAGGGGCCAGTGGCATTTCACAGACATGAGGAAGTCTCTTAAAGGTCAGTTACAACTTCTCCCTGAGTTTACTACCCCTCCTGGCTGGTTAGTGGGAGCCTCTGAGCAGGTGTCCTGCGCATAATTTGATATCGCTCTTCAGGTTCCCATTCACTTTTCCTACTCCTGATAGCAGTGAGTGTAACGACCAGAAACCCCCTGCAAGGCTGCAGCCCTGAAATCGTTCTCTGTCTTTCCTCTTCAGGGAGGTGGCAGAGGGCTGTCTCTAGTGCTGCACAGTTAGAGGGGTATGGTGGTGATATCGGCAGTGTAAACCCGTAAGTACCAACTTATAGTCTGCCAGATAGGAACGCTGGGGACATAATTGACCCATGCTGTAGGATGTTGGGGACTCATACCTGTGTAAGTTCTCAGAAAAGGATTACATGCTTTAGTAGCAGCAGCCACAGGGCCAGGACCTAGGAGGAGAGTTACAAGGACCATTTATATGCTGCAGGGAGTCAGGAAAGGATAACCCTCCTAGGTATGCAGTGTTCAGTAATGAGATGCATTACTGGGGGGTCACAATAATGCCCTTCTCCCAACCACCCAGCACCAGCCACTCTTAGAATCCGAATGCTGGCTTAAATGGACCACAACCGCAATCTGGAGTGGCCAATGATCCAGCACAGTGGGATGTGGGATGCTGGATTAGATAGTCCACTGTGACACGGCAGGAAGGGGAATACTACATGGCCATCATTTTCCCCATGGTGGTAATTTCAGGGGGCCAGCGGCTGCCTGTGGGGTTAAATAGTACTGCCGCTGCCTTGCAGTCTGGGTTCAGTCACTATCTGAGTCTCTGCTGTGTCGGGTGCTGAACTAGAGTTACTGATGGGCGCTGCTCATCTAGTGTTGTACTTACAAGAAGCACCTGGGATCTTTTTCAGAGGGATAAGGCAACATGCCACATTTATTGAACATACATAGATCAATCAAGACTTATTATATGAATATGATATATATATCACTCATGCACTGACACAGACAAACAAGCACACTCCGTCTTGTTGTTGTTACCAACTAGTTGCTCCCCTTAACTTCACTAGCCAGGTGAGTTAGATGGCTGAGGGGTGGAGCTGGGCTTCTGTTGATCCTGATCGATGCTCCGATGGTGACAAGACAAGACCTGGGGCCCTCTGCAAGACACCTCACTTTTATAGAAGCTTCCCTCTCATGCAAATCTATCCCAGATTCAAAATCTGGGTCTGTCCCCCTTGGTCCTTTGTGCTGCTTCTGTCCTGTTGTCCTGATGCTGTTCAGAGAGGGTGTTTTCCAAAGAAGGTGCCTGCTTCTAATCCCCAAGGCCCTCAATATGTCTGCTCTTCTTTCTTGAGCCCACTTGACAAGTTTTATTGTCCTTGGGTCTGGCTTCCACCCCCTCTTCAACTGTTGTAGCTGTCTGGAGGTGCCTGGCTTCCAAGTCTTACTCATTCACACCTCATTCATTCAACAGGGCAATTGATTACAGAGTGGGGGGAAGAGAGTGGGGGGCAGAGAGTGGGGGGCAGATCTTATTCTACTCCTAGCAAAAAGACATTTTTCTTCCACTTTATATACCCAGTTTTCTACAAGTTTTCTATATAGGGTTCTAATACAAAGTTCCCATATCAAATAGGGGTCTAATACAAGATTATATGGAGAGGCACAATGCCAAGTCATTTGAAATACAAAATAGCACAATGCAAAGTCATATGAAATTATGTGAAGATATGTAATACATAGATTTCTCTACACTAGGTCCCCTTTAGCAACCCATCAGCAATGCTGACTGCCATCAAGCTGGGTATGATATATGCTAGGGGTCGGGTGTCTCAGTCCATTTCCTAGTGGGGCTGAGACAAAAATGTCAGCCTCAGTGACGGAATGCGCCCCCTCTCCATGCTGGGCCTGTTGTGTGGAGATTGTGGCTAGGCAAGTGGCACTGTGGGGTGTGATGGTAGTGCCAGAGAGGAGCAATCTCCCAACCAACTGCCCTCTTACCCTTGCTCATGCCGGCCTCCAAGGGAAGAGGCTGCCGCCTTGATGAGCAGCATTGAAGACCTGGAGTATGGCCACAAAAAGCTGGCCATGCAGAATGCCAAGCTGCAGAGGACCATCGAGGCAGCTGAGGAACACAGCTCCCGCCTCACTGAAGAGATCTTCCAGCTGAAGAGTAGACTGAGAAGGTAAGTGAGATAGGAGACAGACAAGGGGGCTGCCAGGAGCAGGCTGAGGGGCCCTGTCCTCTCTGGTTAGCGCCGACACCCCAATGTGCTAGGAGGCAGTGTGCTTCAAAGAGCTGTGTGTGACGCTCACTGGGGGGGCTCTCTTCTGACAGACAGTGCTGGCCCGAGTGTGCTGCAAGGGGCCTGAGCTGCTGGGAGCGGGGTGGGGGCTGAGCAGAGGGTTCTTGGCTGTCCATACTGGTCCCTGTACTCCAGTGTGGGGTTTGGAGGTGATCGGGCGAGGTCTACAGTAAACACTCGATTTTGCACAGTCTCTGGGACCCTGAATCATGCTCACTGCAGGACAGGGCACGCTCTCCCAGCTGTTCTGGCGACATCCCAGCATGGTTAATTCCATTCAGTCTCCCTGAATTCCCCTGCCCGAGGTGTGGACCAGGTACAGGATTCACCTTGCCTTCCCATGCCCAGCTGTTGTGCAGCCTAGCTGCATGTTGAGACATGGCCCTCATGTTCCATCCCTGCGTGGGCGGATTTAAGATGCTGATGAAGTGCTTGGTGATTATTATCTATTCTGTTCATTATTTCACAAGGCTTGAGCAGTCTCACTCTTCTGGGTGTTGGATATGTTAAACTAAGTAGCTGCTGTGTGGGTGCATGGGGGAATTTAGCAGCTGTATTCATTGCTCAGACTGGAAGTTTGTGCAGCACCTCCCCACTAGGGCCCTAGTCTATGACTGGGCCTTTAGGGATTATTGAAATGCAAAGAGTAATAAATATGTCCATCCTCTGCATCAACTATTGCGACTCCTGAGGTTTCCAAGGAAATTCAGGGCACGTCTACAGTTGCCATTTAAAGTGGAGAAAGTCTCTTTTTTTTGCGCAAAAAACATGGGAGTATCTATACTTGCCAATGGCTTTGCAGTGAAACTCAGAAGTTTCACTGCCAAAAGAAAACCACCTTCACAAGAGGCATACAGCTCTTACAGTTAATGCTTTTGCAGTGATGTGCAAGTGGAGACATGTTCTTGCTGTTTACAGAGCATTTAGCCTCTGCAGGGTATCCCACAGTGCCCAGGTGACCACTCTTGCCAGCAGCTCTACTGCTCCAATGCCGGTAAACAGATATCTGCCTCTCCCCCCCATAAATCTCCCTCCACCCTGGGGAACTTTGAAACACCCCTTCCTGTTTTCTTGGCAAGTGCTCACTTACCCTCTTGCCAGGTGACAATGCGTGCTCCAGGGAGCAAATGAACCCCTGCCTGGAGCACTGCTGAGCTACTGGAGCTGATCAGGGTTTGGAGAGACGGAGCTGTGTAGGTACCAGGATGCCCTGTGATCACGCCCCACAAGACCCATTTTCAAAATAGGGGGAGTTGCATTGTGAGATAGCTGCCATTAGGGTGCTGTTCCCATCAGCGATGGAAGTGCTGCAAATGTGAACACTCTTTGATGGCTGTGGAAGTAAGTGAGAACACAAACCAGAACTTTTCTTTTACCAGTTCACTATCTCCAGTGAAACTGACAGTACAAAAACTCTGCGGCTGCGTCTAGACTGGCAAGTTTTTCCGCAAAAGCAGATGCTTTTGCGGAAAAACTTGCCAGCTGTCTACACTGACCGCTTGAATTTCCGCAAGAACACTGACGATCTCATGTAAGATTGTCAGTGTTCTTGTGGAAATGCTATGCTGCTCCCGTTTGGGCAAAAGCCCTCTTGCGCAAGTGCTTTTGCAGAAAAGCGTCCGTGCCAATCTAGACACTCTTTTCCGCAAATGCTTATAACAGAAAAACTTGTCCATTAAAAGCATTTGCGGAAAATCATGCCAGTCTAGACGTAGTGCAAGTGTAGACCTAGCTTCAGACTTCTTATTTAGTGGCATTTGGTCCTGTACTGCTGTTATCTCAGGCTACCTTGATCATTGCTAATTAAGAAGCTTTTGAATTACTGTCCTTTCCTAACTGGCTGTTTTCCTTGGTAGTTCACAGCAGGCCCTGGAACAGGCTAAATCAGTGTCTAATGAACTAGAAGATTTGAAGGTTGTTGCGAAAAGTCTAGAAGAGGAGAATGGCAAACTTCACTCACAAGCCCGGCAGCTGGTAGGTGCTTGTGAGTCTGTTTCAGCAACATTTTCCTGGCTGGAGGTTCAAATGCCGGCAGCCGGTATTCCCTAGAGGCTGGAGAAGTGGGGCTAAGACTCCTGGAGTCAATTACTGTCTGGGAGGAGGGGGAAGAGAATCAGGTTAGAGCAGGGAGGGCTAGGAGCCAGGACTCCTGGGTTCACTAGCTGAAGCTGAAGATGATTTACCATGCAACTTTGCACAGGTCACATACTCTCTGAAGCTCTTTGCCCACATGCTGAGCTATGAGTATATGTAACCACCCAAGAAAACCTCAACTTCTTACCTTCTCTTTGCTGAGAGCCTCAGAAAGTGACCATGGGAAACTGGCACTTCCCTAACATGTAACAAGCTCATGGGGCTCAGCATCATTCTTAGTGGGACATTCCTTCGCATTATAAACCCACTGTTCCACCTGGCTCCAGGTAGCAAAGAGATCCGATCTGGAATGGTCTCTAACGCTTAGGGCAGGGGTGAGGAACCTTCTGTAGGGCAGGGGCCACTGACTCTCAGAAAAATAAGTCGGGGTCCACACACAAGTGAGAAGCCAAAAAAAACCCAAACCCTCACTGATGTGGCCCCTGGCTGAGCAGGAGAAAGACTCTTCCCACATTCCCCTTGCCACGCCAGAGCCTAATGGGGCTCAGGCTAGTAGACTTTGTGTGCTCCAGTCCCTCAGTAGGCTAAGAGGGGAGCCCTGAGCTTCGGGGGCCAGATCCAGGCAAGCCAGGGGCCACATCTGGCCCCCGGGCCTGTGGTTCTCCAGCCCTGGTCTAGGGTTTGTTTAGGCGGTGTGGATCGGCAGATGTGTGCTGATTTACACCAAATGATAACTTAGCAATGGAGTGCTGAGGAAAATCAGCAGGGGGCAGCATGTGAGAGAGCAAAAGCTTTCCCTCCGGACTTCCCGTAGTGTACCCGTTTTGTGGGATAAAGAGAGGATTTCCGCCCATCAATGTGGTGCTTTTTGGCAATATTGAGTTCACTTACATTTTTGTTGTCTTTCTGGAAACCCATGGGCATTTCAAAGTTCCCATCTGCTGCAGCCATGAGTGGTTTACAGGCCTTGCACAGCTGTTGTGGGGCACATGGCTCTTGATGCAAATTCACCACGGGGATTTTAGGGGGATGTAAAAATAAATGTGTGTTGATGACAAATAACGTCGGTAACCAAGTTACTGCAATTTATTAAACCAAGACCCAAGATGAGACTGTTTCCTGAATAATGTCATAGCCAAACTCTAGGGCATATTGCTTAGGTCCATGTTTGTTTTATGTTTTAAACTTATAGGAGAAGGAACAGCAGTGCCTCTCTTTACAAGTGAACAATCTTCAAGAGGAGGTGAGGAGGGCTATGGAGATTGGAGTTGTCTTATGAAGTTGACCACATATGTACTTTAATGCCAAATTTCCAAGAAATATGTAGGGGAAGCTGCAAGTGTAGGTGGGAGGTGGTCTCCCCTCTGAGTCAGTAGTGAATTAGGAAAGAGCACAGAGGAGGTCTGTGAAATATAATCTACTTAGCTTATCATAGAGAAGGTCAAAAGGTGACTAACGGGTCTTTAAGTATCTAGAGCATTTAACAGACAAAAGCAGAACAGAAAGACTCCAGGGCCTGCCTGCTAAGGCTAGATACATTCAGGCTGGAAATAAGGCAGGGATTTTTAAGAGTGAGGATTATTAGACATTGGAATGATTTGCTAAGGGATAGGGTGGGTTCTGTAGGATTTAGGAGTATTTAAATCAAGTCTGGATGACTTTCAGAAGCAGACATTCTACCTCAACCACTGGATATAGGTCAGGCGGTGGGAATTTCTGGCTAAAATACTCAGTGTTCTGCCAGAGATCGAGCTATTTTAACTAGGGATGTTAAATATCGGTTAATTGAATAGTTGAGTAACCTCATGAATTCTTATTGGATAGTCGACTATTCTGTAGTCTCTGGGGGCAAGGCCAGCAGCCAATGTGCTCCAGCCTCACTCGTGAGATGACCCCTGCCACTGAGTGCTGCTACCACTGTATCAGATAGCTGTATGGGGTGCCAGGTGGAAGCTGGTCTGTGAGGGGAATCAGTTTAAAAACTAGCTCCCCTTGTGGAAAAAGAGGCAGTGGTGCAGGGTGGCGGCAGCCTCTGTCTAAGGGGGGGTCTGAGCTCCCGGACCTGGCACAAGCCAAAACTGAGCTGGCTCTTAATACGCTTTAAATGCAGAGCCGCAGTGAGAGTAGCTCTCGGACCCATCACAAGCCAGGACTGAGCCGGGCTGCTGGCCAGCCTGCTAAAAAATGTACTGGCAAGTGGGGAGGGGAGTGGGGAAATGCACGTAGTCTGCATTAACCGATAAGCTTTTGCTTATCGGCTAACCGGTTTATCGACCACACTTTTACATCCCTAATTTTAACCTGTGTCCATTGTCCCAGTACTGTGCTAGAGGGCAGGGGGCTCCTTGGGGACACTCTCCAGCCTCAGTCAGAGGGGGGTGCTGTGCTGCTGAAGCTGTCATCTTTCTGGGGAGATACAAAATTGCGCTTCTGACACTGTGTGGCCTGGCATTTTGTAATAGGAACAGGAATTACTGGCCTCTGTGTCCTGATCAGTTGCAGTGTGGCGAAAATCCATATCCTCCCAGCTAGTTAGGCTCCGAACTTCCACTGATATCAATGGAAGATGTGGCCCTAACTGCATTTAAACTGCCTTTATTGTGCCTGCAGTTTAGGCTGGATGTGGAGTTAATTTTCACTTCCTATGGTAAGCTGCTTGTGTGTCTCACCTCAGCAGCAGCTGCATTTCATTGGTGAAGGGGCCCAAGGAGCTGCTCCTGTCTCTTTGCTATGGTTTGTTAATTAACACTAAACTTGACCTCTGGCTGCTTTACAGAACAGAAAGCTGCTCACAGAGAGAGACAGAGTGAAGCAGAAGGTTGCAGGGCTGGCTGCTGAGAAGTCAGATTTGAAGGTACTAATACCAAGGCAAACGTGTGTGTCACTTAAATCAGTTGCTAGGTTCTAAGTACCCCAGCAGCAGCAGTGTTGAGAACCCGCAGCTTCTGTTGGCTTCCTTATAAAGCTTGCAGGCAAGCGTGTGACGTGTGGCTAAAAGTTTTACACATCTACAGCAGGCGGTAAAATTTTCCGATAAAAAATGCTGATATGATAAAATCTAAACATTTTTGCAAGATCATCTCTCTCGCAACAGGAAATGTACCAAAATGTTCCATTTCGACTATTCTATTCTAAATCATTTTTATATAAAATACATGAATTTTTTTAAATACTTTGTTTTGTGAAAAAAAATCTGTTTAAAGTTTGGACTTTCCCATGGGATGAGAAAGCATCATTTTGGCCTGTATCATGCAGTGGTTTAGAGCAGCTAAGTGGGATGTCAGGACGTGCTGACTCCGCCATTGACTTGTGTTATCTTGGGGGGGAAGGAGGGCGGACATGTCTCTTTCCCCACACCATGCCTATTACCCCTGCTGCAAAATGAGGTTAATGCCATATTGCAGGGGGCTGGACTTGGGGATTTCTTGAGGAAGATCTGACAGTTCTTCATTTCTATAACCCTATGCCATCCCACTTTCCCACTGGAGTTCAAAAGCTTACCAATGAACATCAGGCATTTTGAGACCCTTAATGATAGGCAAAGGTTAAGCACGTATTTCCTTTCTCTAGACACAGCTCTGTGAATATGAAACTCTCCTCTCTTGCAAAGACACTGCCCTTACTGAGGTGAGCAATCTGTTGTGAGTGAGAACAGCATGTGTGTTGGTATTTCTAGTACTTCTTTTCTTGTTTGTTTGTTTGCTGGACTGCTGGGTGACCTTGGATCAGGCACTTTGCCGTTCTGTGACTCAGTTTCCTCACCTATACAGTGGCTGTAACTATACTAACCTCCTTTTGTAAAGCACTTTGAGATCTAGTAGAATCCTAGAACACTAGAACTGGAAGGGACCTTAAGAGTTCATCAGGTCCAGTCCCCTGCCCTCATGGCAGGATCAAGTACCTTCTAAATCACCCCTGAAAGATGTCTGTTTAACCTGCTCTTAAATATCTCCAGAGATGGGGATTCCACAACCTCCCTAGGCAATTTATTCCAGTGTTTAACCACCCTGACCAGTAGGAAATTTTTCCTAATGTGCAATATAAACCTGCCTTGCTGCAGTTGAAGCCCACTGCTTCTTATCCTATCGTCAGAGGCCAAGGAGAACAAATCTCCCCACCCCCCCATGACATCCTTTTAGGTACTTTCAAACTGCTATCCTGTCCCCTCTCAGTCTGCTCTTTTCTAAACTAAACAAGCCCAGTTCTTTCAGCCTTCCCTCATAGCTCCTGTTTTCTAGACCTTTCATAATTTTTGTTGCTCTTCTCTGGACCTTCTCTAATTTCTCCACCTCTAATTTCTCCACATCTTAAGGCACAAAAAGCCTTAAGAGCTAGGTGTTATTAGTGTCACTGATGTGTATTTACACACCCAGCCAGTAGAAGTTAGGGCTCCATGCAGGGGAAGTGCTCTGGCCTGTGTCATGTGGGAAATCTAGCTAGATAAATACAGTGGTCCTTGCTGGCCTTAAACCGATGCAAATTGTGGTCCTGGTTGTGCTGCCAGTGCTCCTAATGCCCAGCAGGTGTCATTGCAGCCTCACAGTTAAGATCAAAGTCAGACATGTCTAATAAGCAGCTGGCGGCAATAATCTATCAGAGCCTCCTTTGAAGCAATAGAAGTCACTGTGATAGAGTGAAGCTGTTTTTTGTTTTTTACAGACAACAAATCATGCCGAAGAGCTGACGGCCATGCTGGCGGAGTACAAAACAGTAGTACAGGTAATGAGCACCCAGTCCCTACTATGCTCCTGCCTATCTGCTCTGTTGATCTCTTCACCTGATTCACCAAAGAGCTTGGATCCTCCCTGCCCAGCTCTGTGTGCACTCTCTTTATCCTCCTCCTTGAGCAGTGGACCATGGAGAAGACAGGTATCCTAGGCTTATTCACGCTTTTGTGCAAGGCACCAGTGAGACCTCATCGGAAATACTGTGTCCAGTGCTGGCCACCTGAGTTCAACAAATGGGGCAAACTGGCCAGGAATGAGTTTAAGCTGGAAACTAGAAGCAGGTTTCTAACCATCAGAGCAGGGAGTTCCCACAACAGCCTCCCAGGAGGAGTGGTGGGGACAAATACATGTTTGATGTTGGAGCTTGGTATGTTTATGGTGCAACAGGGTGACCTGCAATAGCAAGGGGATTAGATTCAATGACCCAGGAAGTCCTGAAGGTTCTGCTGGGCCTGTATCTCACTTACTCTGCTCCTGCACCAGGACCAGGAGGGGGTGGTGCGTGAGAGGGGCAAGGTTAAGGTGGCTTTAAGCCAGTGGTCTGCAACCTTTTTGTGCCTAGGATCACTTTTTTGAATTTAAGGGCAACCCAGTATCTACCCTGCCCTTCTCCAGAGCCTCGCCCTTTTCTCAAAGCCCCACTCTGGGGCAAAGGTTCAGGAGGGTGTGTAGACTCTGGGCTGGGGCTGAGGGGTTCAGGTGCAAGAGGAGGTGAGGGGTGTGAGTGGGGGTGCAGGAAGGGCTCTGGGCTGGACAGAGTGTTGGGATAGAGGAGGGGATCCAGGGTGCTGGCTCTGAGAGGGAGCAGGGTGTGGGAGGGGGATGTGGGGTGCTTGCTCTGAGAGGAGGGTCTGGTCTGAGGCAGGAGAGAAGATGAGATGTTGGCTCTGAGAGAAGGCAGTTTCCCATTCATGGCCAATGGGCACTGCCAGTAGAAACCAAAAACCAAGATATGAGATATATTTGTTAAAAGATACCATGGGGATTATTACTCCAGTCAGTACAGGTTCGGCATTTTAGAACTCACTCCTCAAACAATTACATTTAAGTGTAAGAGAAATAAACATGAAAATGAAATGCACAGAGCAGTCAACACACTTGAAATGACATACTTAGAAAGAATAAATTACAGAGAATATCTGTGCAATGCAGGAAGTACAGAGCAGTAACCACAATACAAATGTGTGTTGGGATGTGAGTGTGAAAGGGATTGTGTGTAATCCAGATATTGTGCGTGTGTGTGTGTGTGTGAGAGAGAGAGAGAGAGGAGCTATGAGCTGGCTGCTAGGGACATCTCAGAAACAGTGCACTGTCTCTGGCCCTCACCATTCAGAGCAGACCTCAGACCATAGCAGCTCCCAGTCTGTGTCTCCTGTGCCCTGCTTTGCAGAGATGGGGTACAGGGCAGGAAGGGGAAGAGGGAGAGAGTGTGCGCACATGAGAGAGGGTGAGAACTGGCTGCTGAGGAAGTCTCAGAAAGAGGGCACTGGGGCTGCATTTCTTAAGTAAACCTCACACACTCAGGGAATGCTCTGAGTCCAGGCCAGTCAGGCTGGCCTCCCTCTTCCCTGCTCCAAGGAGATGGGGTACAGGAGCAGGGGGACACCCTGACATCAATGCCCCTCCCCCTTCCTGCTGTGCAAAGGCAGCCGCCCAGGAGCAGCTGCAAGAGGGAGAGACATGGGGG